TGGCTAAAGTAGAATTAAAGTCTACATGTTAGACACAATAGAAAGTATGAAGACAAAAGTGAGTGAGGGTGTGCACAGAGGGACCTTTTGGGTAGCAAACTTTGGGATTTGGGATGGTTGGCATAATAAATAAATAAAGGTTTTGTTTGTTTTCCTTCTGCATGTATCTACAATTAAGATTTGGAAAGCTTGACTTGCAAAAAAGCCATGAAAAAGCAAACAAATTTGGAGGGTTGAATTTTTTTTTTTTTTATTTTTAAAATATATGACCTTTGTTTTCCTTCATTTATGCTGTATATAGAAACTAAACATGAGTAAGCATATTGGTGTCAGTATTTGACCTGGAAAACAATTGGATAGGGAGGAACAAGCATCTCCCTTGCAGGAATGGAGAAGGCTTTGTCTCCAATATGGAGGCAGTATGGTGCTTGTCCTGTGCTTTTTATCATTAAAGAAAATCTTATAATAATAATTTAAAAAAAGCACAGGAAAAGAATTATGTTGTAAAGTTTTGCGGGTTTGGCTCTCTCCATAATAATGAAGTCTCAAAATAAATGCTGACAAGATAAATGGATGTTATGAAGTAAGAACACAAAAATAAACTTCAGCTTTGTTGTAAACATGTGCTGAAGATTTTTTTTAAAGTAATCAAATTAACAGCCTCACAATACATCTTGATGGTGACAGAAGCTTAGTGACCAGGAGACTACTTCCTCCCCATCCCCCCCCTTTCTACTGCTTTAAATCTTATTTATGGAGAAAATGTGATGCTAAGAGCTAGTTGCTTCAGGTGAACAAAGAACTCTAATATCATCTGACTGTAGTAAATTGCAAGTTCTATTGCACAAGTACTGAATTTTGTGATTCATAACTCCCTGGCTGCAATTTGATATGTAAACCTGTCTAGCTTACATACTTTGAAGTTATCTTATTCCAAACTCCCCACTTGCTTGTGAAGAAATTACTATATTGATTTGTATCATCTTTTGAAAGCTTAAATAAATGAAGCCCTGGAAATACAATTGAAAAATATAAGGGTTAGGTTATGAAACTGTGGAACTTTCTCCTTTATGATCCGTCACACAGGATAGAGGAGCTTTCAAATTACCTTCTTGTTCTGCTTTGTTGAAACTCACGTTGGTGCAACGCTGATCCATGTGAGCAGTGATAGTGAACAAGACAGACTGCCAGACTCTGATTCTGGATGACACCTGAACAATTTGTTCTGCTAAAACTTATTTATAAAGGTGCCAAGTGAATGAATGCAACTGCTGAAAACCCCACCTTACAGTAAAAGGGAGAGGCTGACTGAAGAAGTGCTTCATTCTGTAACGACAAGCACATGTTAGCAATCAGGAAAAAAGTTGAGTATTGTCAGAAATAAGACATGTTCTGGTTGCAAAGCTCTTAACAGTGGTTTTCAGTTGACTGAGTTTGTTTTGATGGTATAATAAATCCCTCTTTCAAATACGTACTGCTAGATCCTCTGCAGCTACATGAATTAAAAGGCTAATCTGGTGCAAACAGAGCCTTCAAAACTATACTACCATTTAAAGAAAAGTCCAACAATACACAACAAACCAAAGAAGAAAACACAAAAGCACAAAAATGCAAACAACAACAAAAATTGAACAAAATATTGAACCTGTAATAATTTAATGCTAACTACAAGAGTACAGTGAAGATCAGACTTAGCATAAGGCTGGTCTAGATGAAATGTAGCATTCTTATGTGGCACAGTACTGCTATTATTGCTCATAATCAGTCCAGAGAAAGAATATGAATTATGAGTATTGCAATCATATTAAAAATAAAAAAAATAAAAAAACACACCCCCCCCCAAACAAACAAACAAAAGTCCTCACAAGTTAGAGACTACTTTGTATTTTGAGTCAAGAGACCTTGAGGTAGACTATTGTCGTGGTTTAAACCCAGTCAGGTAACTTGTTCACTCACTCCCCCCCTTCTTTCCCTCCCCCTGCTCCCAGAGGGACGGAGAGGAGAATCGAAAAGAATGCAACTCCCACGGGTTGAGATAAGAACAGTTTAGTAACTAAGGTACAACACAAATCACTACTGCTACTACCAATAATAACAATGATAAAGGAAATAACAAGGGAAGAGAATACAACACCTCACCACCAACCAACCGATAACTCGGCCCCCCAGCCCGACCAAGCTCCGACCGATACCTCCTCCAACCCTGCAGTCCCCCAGCCCTTCCGGCTAACTCCCAGTTACATCCTGGGCATGACGTGCTGTGGTATGGAATACCTCTTTGGTCAGTTTGGGTCAGGTGTCCTGTCTCTGCTTCCTCCTGGCTTCCCCTCCTCCCTGGCAGAGCATGAGGCTCACAAAGTCCTTGGCCAAACCAAAATATCCTTGTTATCAGCTCTGTTCCCAAGCTGAAAGTCAAAACACAGCACTGCACCAGCTACCACGAAGGAGAAACATGACTGCTACTGCTGAACCCAGGACAACTATAAAGAACGTCCAGAGTTATTATTGCTTGGCAAATCCTAGTTGCATTGTTAAACACTATTGCTCATCACAAGCTGAAGCTTATGGAAGGTGGATTTTGCACCGTGGACACTCAGCAAGATCACCCTAAAAGCAAAAAAGGACTTGAAATAAAAAAAAAAAAAAGAGATGTAGCGTAGCACTTGCAACTTGCAAAGAATAATGCTCACCATGTTGCATGTGGGTCTACAACACAAGCCCAGACAAATAACACAGTTTGGAGCAACAGGCAAGAACTGCAATAAATTGCATCACTTTCACAGAAGTTTGCCAGCACTTGGCTCTTATGGCACATGCATTAACACGGCTAGGACAGCATTAGTGCAGAAGAATGATTTTGAGATGCGCTGGACAATGTTACACCAGAAGATTGTATATTTGTCAAGCAGAGTATGTTTGGGAAAGGTTTGGATCTAAAGGAGCACAGCTTAAAACATGAAAATGAACTAAAAGGTGTGGGGGGGTCTTTCTTTTTTATTCTCCCTTTCTTTCTCCTCTGTTCCCCCAGGTCTTGCCTGTAGGAATGATTTTAGGTAATCCCTAAAAGATGAGCTAGACAGACTTGTTACTCCGATTCTCAGAGGTAATGCAATCTGGTGGTGATGAACATAATTCTTGTGTCTCCTTTTATCACTGCCAGATTATTATTTTCTTTTTCTCCAACTACAGTAGAAGAATTGTAATTGAAAGCTTTTGAAGTAGCATTTTAAATCCTTCTTGGATGGTCTCTGGTTCCACTAACTGCATTTAGAAAGTAGCTTTTTCTTCAGCAATGGCACAAATGTGTCTTTCTGCTACCTGGACAGCTACCTTTTGGAAAACCTGTATGAATTTACTGGTTTTGGCATCCCCAGTTGTCTGTAAAAAAAGTGCTTGAAACTTGGCTTGAATGCTTAATCATCAGTAGGCAATACACAAGTTTAAGAAAGAGGACAGCTGCATACTCCTTTTATATTTGCTGTTATGCAGGAGGAAAGTATTTGCAAATATATTTATCTGTATTCAGAACCAGCAGAATTCCAGACTTTATTCAGGTCCTCTTTTGGAGGGGAGAATAAAAAGAAGAAAATATGACAGCACACACTTTCTTTGGATGACAGTTTTCAGCTGACTGCCATCCAAGCCACACTTGGCATACAGACTTGTCTCCCCCTGCCCCATAACATGTATTCTGGCCTGTACACCTGAAATTTTTAGCTGTGTAAAGCAGCAGAAAGTGTGGTAAAACTGAAGTGCTACAATTCCAATAGATAAAAAAAAAAATCAATGTAAGAAATGTGAATATAAGAAAGTATCCTCGGTGAAAGGACGTAAGATCTACTGCCAGGGTGCTTGCTCCCAGGCCTCTGATAACTCTGAAAAGCAGGAGAGGTATCCTGGAGCTGGTGGTCACAGAATGGTTAGAAAGGACCTTAAGATCATCTAGTTCCAACCTCCCTGCCATGGGCAGGGACACCTCACACTAGAACATGTTGCCCGAAGTCCCGTCCAACCCGGACTTAAACACAGGGATGGAACATTCACAGATTAGCTGGGCAACCTGCTCCTGTGCCTCACACCCCTTACGGTAAAGAACTTCTTCTACATAGTCAACCAAAATCTCCCATTTAAGTTTGAAGGTCCTACTCCTTGCCCTATCGCTACAGTCGCTGATGAAGAGGACTCTCCAGTATCCTTGTAGGCCACCTTTGTATACTGGAAAGCTGCTATGAGGTCTCCACGCAGCTTTCTCTTCTCCAGGCTGCACAGCCCAAATTTTCTGAGCCAGTCTTTGTATGGGAGGTGCTCCAGCTCCCTTATCACCCCTGTGGCCCTTGTCTAGACTTTTAACAGTCCCATGTCATAATGTTGGGCACACTCCAAGAGGGGTCTCATGAGAGCAGAGTAGAAGACAACTTAAGGAAATCCTGCCCCCCTATAACAACTGGATTTAGTGAACTCTGCATTAAGGAAAAGAGGCTATTGCTCCTGGAGCAGACCCTGCCTAGCTAGCACTACAAAGCACAAGCACAGGGCATGGGGGGGGGCGAGGATGGGGGGGGAACATTAATGCACTGGTGCATAGCTTGTGCAGTTGGTCACACCAGGCTTCTTGCACCCAAACCGTACGTTGATACTCAGACGCGGGGCCTTACGGCGACATGACGAGAACGCAAGGGCTGTCCTCGCTAAAACCGGGAGCTTCTGCTTTTATGCAGGACACTTAAATAAAAGGAAGACGAGCAGGCAGTGTCATTAGGACGACGGACAAGCTCTGCGCGGAGCCCGAGACACCCTGCCCCCACGAGCACGACTTCGTGGATCTCGATCCGTACCCAGACACCGCTGGACACTCTGCCGGAGGGGCCAGCTCTCACTCCGTCCCGGATTTCCCGGGAGCCGCGCAAAGGCTGGGCGCGGGCGGCGCATGCGGCCTGGGGCCCGGCTGGCCGCGGAGGGGAGGCGGGCGGAAGGCGTGGCCGGCGCGCCTGTGCGGAGAGAGGGCGGCGGCGCTGCTGAGGCGAAACTGTGGGGGGTCGCGGCAGCCGGTGGCCTCCACCCCCAACTCCCCACATCCCCGTAGCGGGAAGGGGAAAGCGAACGGCTGCATCCCCCAGCCCCCCTCCCGGAGGCGTGCGGTCTTGCCCAGTGCTCGGCGCGGCGGCCGGCGCTGCGCTTGGGGCGGAAAGCGAGCGGGTGGGCAGCCGGAGCTCCGAGCCGCCGCTTGAGGGGAGAAGAGGGGTGTTCCCGCACCCCCCGGCCCCAGCCCGGGTGGATGTGCACCGCCGAGGGCGGTGGCGGCGGCTGTTGCGGCCTCCCCATGGCTGGGCCCCGGCGGTGAAGGCGGCGGGAGCCGCCTGTGTCCGCGCCGCGCCGGGAGGCAGCGCAGCCAGCAGGGGGCGGGCGGGGAGGGGGATGAGTGCTGCAGCCGCCGCCGCCTCTGCGGGAGCCGCCGCCGCCTGCACCGGGGCAGAGGGCGGCTTCTTCTTCCTTTCCAGCGGCTCCGGTCCGGCGGGGTCCATGGGGCCCGAAGAGGGCTCAGCCGGCGGGCTGGGAGCCCTGCCCGGCGCCCTGGCGGCGCCGTCGCTGGGCTGCCGGAGCCGCTACCAGCTGCTGCTCTCCGGGAAGGCCCTGGCCGACAGATACCGGAAGATTTACACGGCGGCTCTGAGCGATCGGGAGCTGGGGAGCCACCCGGGCAGGTAACGCGCGCCGAGCTCCCTCCTGGGCGAGACGGGCAGTCCTCGGCAGCCGCCACCACCCCTCCCATCGTCGGCTGGGAGCGGCCCTTCTCCCGGTCCCGTGAGTGCACCGTTCTCCCGGCAGCCGCCCTCCAATTCTCCCTTCTCCCGCGGCTACCCCCGCTGCCTCTGCCATGTGGCCGCCGCCGGGCCCCGGGGGCCGGAGGGGGCGGTGATGTAACGCGGTGGCTGCCCAGGTGCCACCGGGCCCGGACGCTAGCTTGGCCGGCGTTATCGTACAGATGGCGCTGACACCCTCTTTGCCTGGGGGCCGGGGTGGCCGGGAGGGTGTGTGGTATGGTTACCTGTGTCTGCTCCCCACCCCCAGCGCGGAGGCCGGGGGCGCCGCCGCGCCCTTGTGGCGGGGGGGAGCGATGTAAAGCCCCGCTCCACCCGTTCTCTCTTGGCCGCCGCGGGGGATGGAGCGTTTCCTCACTCGTGGTGTCCATGTTGAGACCTCGCTCTGCCTGCGGCCTGTGGTGCCACTGAAACGGGCTGAACCCCGTGTTTTCTGACGAGGGCACCCGCTGGCGGGGCCGCCCAAGAGAGGGACCTTAGTGCTTGCCGTATGTCGGAGCAGCCTTTGCCTGCTCTCCTTTATTTTTCCGCCACTTTTGGTAATCTCTTTCTCCGCCACCTTGGACGCGGCCTCGGTAACAGTGGGGAGGCTGCGCCCGGGCAGCGCTCTCGGGGAGTGGTGTGGGGGGTGTGCCCGGGTCCCTGCGGCGGATGGTGCTTCTCGGGATTCCGTGTCCCGCCGGTCCTGCCAGCTGGCTCTCGGGCTCCGTCCCCAGGCCGCAGCAGGGTGCCTGTTGCGCCTGCCGCTCTTCGGCCGGGATGCCCTCGCCTCCCTCTCCTCAGCGCAGGACTGGGGAGGCGGCTGTGGGCTCAGGCGGTGAGAGGTGGCGAGTGTTGTAGTTACCTGCGGCCCCAGCCCCGGTCTGCAGACCAAGCGGCGGAGGCGAGGGCGGAGTGTGCCCGGCCGGGGCCGGCCTGCATGAAGGGGGCGAGGGGCCGGCTCCCTTTAGGTGCCGGGGCGCTCCCCATTGTTTTCCTCCAGAGGTGGTGGTGAGGATGCGGATGACACGAAACCGGCACTTTCCTGTGTTCTCGGCCTCTGCCGGCCTTAAGCTGGAATGTGAGTGGCCAGATCGCGATAGAGCTTTGAGTCAGCGCTGTTTTAACTTTGTAAATGGTTGTAAAGCGCTAGGTGCTTGGCGTCTTCGGTTTAGGCTTTTTTTTTCAGTCTGACTGGAGCAGCGGGGCTTATCTCCTCTCCTTCCGCCCCAAAAGTCTGTGCCTGGGAGTGGTGTTAACATAAACTGAAAGAATAACATAACTTTCCCCATTTGCTTACGGCAAACGCTGCAAACGTGGACTGTTGACGCTGGCATTTGACATCTTTGCAATTACTGAGTACAGGGTGTATGACAGGGAAACTATAGTTCTTTTTTTCCCTATGTAGACCTGTGAGCGTTTTCTTACCGTGTATATTCCTTAGTTCAGTGCTCATGCTTTTTCCTTTAAATCTTCTCTTCCTGCTTTTGAGCTTTGTATCATTTAGTCCTGGGTCTGCAAGGGCTAGTTGTAAGGGAACTACTCAATGCAAGGAGATTAGCTATGCGATTGCTTCATGGTATTAAGATATTTATCTGAATTTTGCCTTAACGTGTCTGTATTAAAGCTGTAGTCTTGACTTTGTTCTGCCCTCCATGTTTTTCAGTTTCAAGATAATTAAGCTGGTATCTCTTATATTTACAGTTGTAGAAAATACTGGCTTTAGGTGGGTGTGAATGTTAATGTTTCTTTTAATTGACATTCTTAAAATAATTACTTTTAACTCCAAGGTACCATAAATTGCATTCTTTTGCGTTCTGTTTTTTTTATTAGCAGATTCTTAGGAGAATGCCAGTTAAAAGAAACAGTAACATTTGCAGTTACTGTATGTCTTTATTATTGAGGGCTAGATTTAGTCATCTTGGAACCATTCAAAGAAGCTAGACTCCTCATATGGAGAAAACAGGCTATATTAAGCTATTAACAAGTAAATGACAGCTAGTTAATACTAGTGAATACGACCAGTGTGTATTGTAGGACTTTTGAGGGGAGGATGTTTAATAGTAGTCTGGTTGCCAGCTATCTTCTGGTACTCGCCCCCAACATCTCATGTATCAGACTGATTGCAGCCAAGGTACTGCTCATGATCACCACCCTTTTTCCATATTAGTGTCAAAATATTGCAGTCGAAGGTTTGAGAACTTCAGCCACCTGGTTGTCTTGAACAGAAATGGTCAAAAATGCTTTTTGACGAACATGGTAAAAATTGCAGACATTTTCTAAAGAGATGCTTTAAAGTGATTTGGGACTGCATTTAATTGCTACAGTAGATAACAGTGCCAGATAAATTAATTGGAGGCTAAGATAATATAGTTTATAAGAGAAACTGTGGAAAATCTGTAGCCTCCTAATCTGTCAATAAGCGTTTGTGACTACAAAAATACCTTGAAGTAATTTAAAAAACTAAACGGATTGGCTTGTGAACATTAATACACTTCTTCCTGTGCTCCAAGAAGACTAATTTGAAGAATGATAGTGCAGCCTACTTGCTATATGTCAATTTCAAAAGAATCATTCATTCAAGACTGCAGAATTGTATTCTGCACTTCACATGGTGTCACCAATACTTGCCTCAGTGAGTGCTTTTATTCCAAACCTGCGTTTAATGTTTATGAAGAACTAGAGTGCAATTTGAAAATGCTTGTGTGTAGACAAGAAAGTGAAACATTGTGGAGATTGTCTGAAAGTCAGAAGTGAGATTGCAGTCACATTTGCAAGGTGTTTGTGCTGGCTGTCATCTGAAAGTGATGAATATCGTATGTTGAGTAGGATGCGGTAATTGACTTTGAAACAGAAGTAGCAGTGCTTTGCATTTCCTCATGTGCAACTGGCTGCAGTGTTGTGAACACTTCAGTCTTCAAAGGGGACTGTTCAGTTAGTGTGCTTGTTCCTCCTGCCACATTGATGTAATTATTATATAGTTTCTTGCAGTAGCAGATTAGAGACTTGGTCTGGGTTAAAATTAACTTGGCAAAAATAGTTTGTTGTAATCCAGACTAATTCCCTGATCTGGCTCACCTTGTGGTTGTGCTTGTGACAGTGTGAGGTGAAGGGTTGCACAAAGATCTATGTACACTGGAGGGAGCAGAAACTGCTGGATTTAGCACTAGTGCCAGCCTAATGCTTTTTCTGTTTCATAAAATTGCCTAATTCTACAATTTAACGCACAACTGTCTTTGCTTAGATAACAATATTAAAAATCTGTTACGGTACTACTAGCAGTGGGAAATTCACTTGTCAAGATTGGTTTGGAAGATAAGTCAACTGTGAGTGTGCCTAATTTGTAGTCTCTGCTTTATGTCTACTGAAAAATATGAAAATGACTAGTAATGGTATAATAGTTAATGTAGCTATAAAAGTCTGTAAAACACTAGTAGGAAGTATGAACTTCAGAGGGCAAGTGAAAACTTCACGTTGTTGGAGTGTGGTCTCATACACTGGATTCTGAGTGGATGAAATGGGAAGTCTGCTCTGGTACTGAAGTAATGTAAGTTGTTAACTACTTTCAGTCCTGAAGTTTTGCGTTTGCTAAATAAGGTATTCACAGTAGGTACTTACTTACCCATTTTTCACATTCTGTTGTCTTAAGATACACAGTTTTTTTGTTGTGTAACTTAATCCTAACAAACGTTGCTATCTAGCTGAATTGCTGCTGTTACCAGTTGTGGATCTTGGGGTTTTCCCTGAGCTCTCAGTTCCTTTACTCTTCTTTTACCTACATATGTACTACCAGAAGTATCAGTTAGGCTCAGTGTGTTCTATGAGACTTTTTCTCAACTCTAGATAGAAATAAAAATTTGAAGACCATATTTGGATTTCTATAGTAACATTAGGTATCAGAGATGTAGCAGTATTCACTGAATAATATTAAGGTTGCAGAGGGGAGATTTAGGTTAGACATCAGGGAAAAATAAAAATCACTTTGAGGGCAGTGAAACACTGGAACAGGGTGCCCAAAGAAGCTGTGAATGCTGCATCCCTGGAACTGTGGAGTCAATCTGTTGGTACCCCATCCCTTGTTGAGATCAAGGAACATTTCAGTGATGACTGAAATAAAGATTTCTGCTATTAACCAGAAATCGGATGACTGTTTTTTTTCCAGCCATTTTGGCTGAAGAAGAGGCAGCCAACTTTCATTTTAAACTGATTCTTTCTACTGGATGATAAAAGAAATTTTTGGAAGTAGGCCAGGTCATCCACACTCATAGTAGTAAATTATACATCCTCTGGAGAAAATTGATCATTAGGTGTTAGTCTTTAGGCTTTTCAAAGTTGACACAAGGTCTTCTCTTATGCCCCTTCTTTTGCTTAGTAATGCAATGCTTATTCGGTCCTGTGATGTTTTAAGTGTATATTTTTCAAAATTTATTGGAGAAATGCTACTGAAACACTTTAGCATTGCACTGCCAAGTTATTACAGAATTTGTAGAAGCCGAGCTTAATAGATTTATATATGTGAAATTTGTTATTTTGATTATAGGCACACTGGAAAACCTGAATTTCTTCAGATCTAAAGCCTTTACAAAAGCTGTAAGCTGTTTTCCGATTGAGATTTGATGCTTTCTTAAAATAAAATTGTAATTGCAGAAAGTTTGGAAGCATTCATTTGATGATTGAAAATAAGATTGTATAAATAAAGTCTGACAGATGCATTAGATGCAACATTTTCCTGTTTATTCCTGTAAAAAGGTTTGCTCCGTAGTTCCAGTCCAACTGAAATATTCTAGTCTAGTCTGTTGTTCTACTCTCATCTGTTTTTCAGTTCATGTTTTGTAAATGCCATTGTACTGAAACAGAAGTTTGCCTTTATGTAAACTTAAAATTTCATTTCGTTTGAAAAACAA